TAGCAGTTGGAGATTAATCCAGAAAAATGTGAGGTGATGCATTTTGGAAGGTCAAGTCCAGGTGGAAATAATACAGTGAATGGCAGAACCTTTAGGAGTATTGATATATAGAGGGATCTGGGTGTACAGGTCCACAGATCACTAAAGGTGGCAGTGCAGATAAATAAAGTAGTAAAAAAGGCTTATGGCATGCTTGTCTTCATTGGAAGGGGCATTGCGTATAAGGATAGACAAGTTATGCTGCAGCTTTATAGAACTTTAGTTAGGTCACACTTGGAATATTGTATACCATTCTGGTCACCACACTACCAGAATGATGTGGATGCTTTGGAGAGGGTACAGAAAATGTTTACCAGGATGTTGCCTGGTATGGGTGATTTTAGCTATGAAGAAAGGTTGAATAGACTGGGTTTGTTTTCACTGGAATGCAAGAGGTTGAGGCGCGACCTGATAGAAGTTTATAAGATTGTGAATGGCATGGATAGAGTGGAAATCATGAGCTTTTCCCTAGGGTGGACATATCAATTACTAGGGGACACGAGTTCAATGTGCAAGCGGGGAAGTTTAAAAGTGATGTGTGAGGTGAGTTTTTCACACAAAGGGTGATGAGTACCTGGAATGCATTGCCAGAGGGGGCAGTGGAAGCAGACACAATAGCAACATTCAAGAAGCACCTGGACGAATACATGAATAGGAAGGGGGTAGAGGGAAATGGATCCTGTAAATGAAGACAATTTTAGTATGGAAGGGCAGAATGTGTGGCGCAGGCTTGGAGGGCCATAGGGGCTGTTCCTGTGCTGCATTGTTCTTTGTTCTTTTTCTTTGTTTTCATTGGTGACGGCTTGTAGAAATGGTTGACCAGGACAAAAATAACAGCCACTTTTACAAGTGTGGATTCATTGTGGAAAGTAAATTCAGATTTGTAAAAGGCAAATGATGTTCAGCAAACTTGATTGATATTTTGGATGAGGTAACAGAGAAGGCTAATGACGATAATGTGTTTTATGTGGCACCAAGAACTTTCAAAAGACATTTGATGACGTGCCACATAATAGGCTTGTCAGCAAAATGAACGGCAATAGAATATAAGACAAATGGGCTGCAATAGATGCATAGTTGACTGAGTGACAGGAAATCGAGATGTTTCCCACAGATTGGTACTGGGACCAATGATTTTCCTAATATTAAAGTATTGACTTAGACTTAAGGTGTCAGGGCATAATTTCAAAATCTACTGATGACATAAATCTTAGAAGTATAGTAAAGTGTGAGGGGGATAGTGATAGGCTTCAAAAGGACAGATAAAGGCTGAAAGGATGGGCTGGTATGTGGCAGAAGAGATTTAATACAGAGAAATATAATCCTATGATTCTAAGTGTACAGTGATATATTTTGTGCAGAAAAAATTAAGGAGAAACAACATAGTGGGCACAATTTCAAAGGGCTTGGAAACTGAGAGAACCTGGGAGTATATGTGCAAAATTATTGAAGGGACAAGTTGAGAAAGTGGTTCAAAGACATGTTCAATCATGAGCAACATGGCTTCTTATATTAAACGTTTTATTCAAACACTGCTTTGCTTGCAAACTCCGTCTAATGGTATAATTAGTTATGGTATCTTCAACTGAACAAAATGTGCATTGCACTTATCAAAATACTGCAATACAGCAAACAAAACAGTACAAATATACAGCATGAAAGTGTGATGGAACTGATTCAATTATGCCTTTCCAGGGGGAAACTGAATAAAATCCTGAAGGGAAAAAAAACTGTACATGTATCAGGAAAGAATGGGCAATCAAAAGTGGTCAAATTGCTCTATCAAGAGCCCAGGCTCAATACATTGAAAAGGATCTTCCTGTGCTCTAATCATTCTTTGATTGCACGTACAAAAGTGGGTGCTGAATTTGCCCAATAAGCCATAAAGGAAATTAATCTTTTTTCTTAAAAAAAAGTCTTATCAATAAGGAACAGGCTTTCCACTCTCAGTAGTCTAAGGAAATAGATTTAATTGAATTTTTGTAGAAATAACAACAGACCTAAGGGCTGTATTTACCAGTCAATGAAATTGGTTTGCAACCAATGCAACATACAACTTTAGTTTCCAGTTACCTACGATCAATGAATGTATGAACAAGAAATAAAGTGCAGAATGGAAGAAAACAAGGTAATTTGGTTCACATAGCCCCTTATTTGGCAGACAGTGATGTGACATTAAAAGTATGTTATATTTAGAGCTTTAATAGTACCACTGCTACCCCCCATGACTTTCTTGAAAAAAAACTGTTAGATTCTCTCTGGCCAAAATTGTTAATTAGTTCTTGTTCATAGGTTATGTACTGCATTTTCATCCTGGAAGCAGGTAGCAGGAGTTTTTAAATTTCCCAACTCAGCTCATCAGCTTACCTTCAGGAGAAAGTGCGTGCAAAAGGTGGGGGGGGATTTTCATTTCACTTGGTGGTTACTAACTAGAATTGGCCTGCTGCCTGTAGGAAGAGATCTGACATAGTGACACAGGGTGGCCATGTGTGGAGACGGGCTGTTGGAAAGGTCTGCCTTAGTGCTCTGGAACTTCATCCTTGTTGTAATGAAAGCAATAAAACAGTAAACAACCTTCTAGCCCTCACCCTTCTCCTTGCCCTCTCCACGACAACTAATGACCCCCTCACCCACCTCCCATGGCCTCTCTACCCTTTGTGTCATGCTGTGCATGTCTAGGCAAGAATGAAGAATGCATAATGAGGAGGGGTTGGGAGCCCAGACAGCCATTAATCTGCTAAATTACTTGTGTCCAAGAGAAATGACTGATCAATTGACAGACTTCTCTCTATGATCAATGGGGGCGGGAATCCTGGAATTGGGTCATGGCTTCAATCTTCAAAGGTTCTCAAAGTGTCCCCAACTCTGTGAAAATTTAGCCCAATAATCCTGTTATTTGAGCACAACCAGAAATACAGTGCTGTATGTTACAGGTGGTCCATCTATGCCCAACTTCTGCATAACTGTCAACGGATCAAATCAGACTCTTCTTAAAGAGGACATAGCATGAATCATCTCTGATAAGAACTTAATTTACATTTCTACTTTCCAGTAGGAAAATGTTTTTTAATTTGTAACTTTGGTCACATCCCATAAAGCTTGAATCCCACAAAGATAAGAAATAAATTTAAATTTAAGGAGGACATAGATTTTTCATTAGTAATAGGTTAAAGCATTATGGGCAGTGGGCAGGAAAGTGGACTTGAGAACAAGATGAGATCAGCTGATTGTATTAACTAGTGGAGCAGGCTTGAGGGGCTGAACTGCCTACTCATGCCCCTAGTTCTTATGCTGTTACATCCTAGATTGCAGTAAAATCAGAACCAGAACTCAATGATGATTTAGTTTTCTGGAATTGCCACTTCCAGACTCTCAGTATTTTACAATTAAACTCCTCAGACCACCATTTGTCTCCATCCTTTGATTCTGAAGACCATTTTAAGTAATGAGGGGTTTTCAGGGAAGGTCCTGAAAGTTGAACAGAGGGTCAAGAATTTCTTGGTGCAGAGCTAAGAGTGATGATGATCATTGGGAGCTTGTGAAAGAGGAATTAAAACCTCTAACCATGAAAGTATGTCACTAGAGGGTCAATAACAGTTTAATATGAACTTGGAGGCATTGAGCATTTAGACAGCAGCAAAAGGTTAAACAGGAATTGTGCATATGATATCTTTGAAATGTTATAAAACCCAACTGAAATATATAATAGATGAGCAAAGAAGTTCACAAGCAGGGAGAGGCAATATAATATGTGGTTAATGGTGTTTTAGAATATACCTGAAACTCTTCTTGCAAAAAATGAAAAATTAGCTGCAACATTGTGAACAAGTGAAATGCCTTGGGAGGGAAATTCCAAAGTGACACATTTTCAACTTACAGTAGTTTTGCAAACTTCAACTTTTAACCTGCTGTAGTGTAGAACATGAAATTAATAGATTTCTAATTCTCTATGGATCCAACACAAGTTTTGCAGCAATGTAGGCAGTAGAACATATGAAAGCTACTTTCTATCCGTTCCTAAAAACAAATCCTATTCTTACACGTTTTTTGCAAACGTGCAATTAACATTATATTTAAACAGTACTTTTGCTGCATACTTTCTGAAATTGGAGATTCAATTCTGCTCCCTCATATCGTTACCATGGTGTGTGTGTAGGGATGTGCAAAGTAAACACTAGGTTATAAATGACAATAGGCGGAAGGTCTGGCTGAAATTGATTGATTAAAGTCTTAAGCACAATGAAACATAATTTTAAGAGGACTCTAATGTAAGCACAGTGTATGGATGGTGGAGCTTGTAAATTCAGTGGCTTGCTGGGGAGGAATTCTAGAATGTCACACCTGTAAAGGTTCAGGGAAACTTCAAGTGAAAAGATAAAAAGGAAAAGATAATGAGAGTCTGACTATTCAACGCCCTCTCTGCAGGACGCTATCTGTGGAGAAAGAAACAGTGTTACAGTTCGCATCCAATATAAATCGGCTTTGGCATGAAGAAGTCACATTTGACTTGAAATGTTAATGGTTTCTCTCTCCAAAAATTCTACCAGACCTGCTGATTTTCTGAAGTACATTCTGTTTTTACCTCAGAGGACTATGCTTGATCTGCAGTATTCTAGGTAGAGGACTACTGAAAAGCCCAGAGAAAAGGATTTTATGATGTTTCTCTGAGACTTGTTCCAATTTATGACCAGTAGGAGACTTGTAGAAATTTTACCTCAAGATATTCCAGTGGCTATAACAGACCTGGAAACACAGTTTATTGTATTTTAAGCGCTATAAGTTGAACAAATTTTAGCTTTAACACAAAGCAATCCTCAGGTTCTATCACATTAGTACATAAGCTCTATATCTGAAAAATTCTATCTAATGTATTGTAAGGCTCACCAGTCATGAAAATAAGTGACTATGATCAGTGAAAGACATAATATTTGAAACAGACTTTTCAATATCTTCAGTCTTACCTCTTTCAAAACTTGGTCTATAGTTTCTATAGTTTCCTCTGATACATTCCAAGGATCCTTTTCGTCCACCATCATTGCATCAAGGGTACCTTTCTCCAATACTACATCGAAGCTTTCATTTTCAAACTCAAGTGCCTTAGCATCCATAATCTTCCATTCCATGCCTGAGCAGGTGGCATATTTGGAAGCCATTTTTTCAATGCAGATTGCTGAGAAATCAATATTTGTAATTGATCTATAACCGCTCATGAACATTTCATAACTCAATGAGCTATTTCCACATCCTAGAAAAAAAAGGAAGAAAATATTTTTAAGGTATTTACTGAAGCTATGTTAATTGTGCATTGTAAATAAACATGGAATTCGAACAGAAGCCATAACACCTCTGTGGTGTAGGGCCTAAATTATAGACAGTAGAATTATTTTATGATGAAATTCTGTCTGGCCTAATTTTTCTGGATCATCTCTGGGCATATTGAACTTTTAATTGTAACCTGTCTTTTTTTTTTTAAAAGAAAAAGAGATAATGCCAAAAGATGACTGTGGGCATAAATTCAGTGGCTATCTGAAAAGGAATTCTAGAATGTCACATCCACCCAATGCTCTTTCAGCAGGAGGCCATCTCCTGCACATGTTTTTGTTTTACTCTTCTACAGATATACAAAAACAGGGGTTAAACTCTGGGCAACTCAACCCTGGTTAATGTGTGTTAGTGAGCTAATGTACTAGTGTGTTGTCTAGATTGGAAACTTTAAGAACAACTATTGAAAGGGGAGCTAACAGCTCAGTGGTATTATCACTAGACTGTTAATCCAAGAACTCAGCTAATGTTCTGGGGATTCAGGTTCAAATTGCACTAACAGACTGATCCATACATTTTTTAAAAAAAAGTTTATCTTCTTTTGGACTCATGTCTTATTCTGATTCCTAATCTATGTGTATGTATGTTGTGTTGTTAATTTCTGCATTTAGGAACAATAAATTCATCCTTTTGTTAACCAAGAAAGCCTGGTTATATTGACTCCTTTTGACACCTACATTCCTTTGGTTTTGGAGAAAGATACACAAAAAGGAGGGATCTTTTGTAAATTCACCATGTTCTGACCAAACGAGGGGGCAGATGAATAATGCAGAGGAGCCAGTGTATCCCTCTTCCCCCCAGAGCATAATAACTTGGGATATCCCATTGGACAAGTAACAAATTGGGGAAACTCAACCAGGGACAGGTTGTGACAGAACAGAATGTAATGTGGAGTTCCAAAGAAAAGAAATCTTTGACTTGAAATATTAACTCTGTTTCTAGGTCCATCTTTAATAGAACTTGAAATTGTGATTTTTTTTCACACACTTTAACAGATTTACCTTCTCTGCAAAACATTCCTAATTTCAATGTTGCCCTGGGCTTGAACAACCACACAGTTTTAAGAAGCAGTGACTGAACATGTGACTGGTAGCAGCAATATGAACATTACATTAGTGTTTAAACACAGCTGACTTGTCTTGTAATAGAAAATAATGAATAATTCACAATTTCTAAGCCAAGCTAAATTTTAATTAAATTTTATGGATAGTTATTCTTTTCATTGCTACAAAAGTATCAGGTTACTTAGCACTCTTGAAAAGTTTCAGGCAAATTCACTTCAAAGATGATGGATAGCCTGTTTTACAAAAGCTTTGAAAAGGGCAGCTAGTTAAATTCATCCAAACAGTCATGAAAACAAACATAATTTAAACAATTCTTCAATGCAAAATGTTCTCAATCGGACAAATATATGAATAAATCACAAGATGCTTCTTTTTGAAATCAATAGTTTATTTCAGCTAGTTTGTTAACCGACCTTGCAATTAATTATGGAGTTAGGTCATAGATCAGCCACAATTTTATTAAATAGCAGAACATATTTGACAGAATATGTGGACTACCCTGTTCCTATTTACGAGGTCAAGTCTTTTCTTTAAGGCGCTTTACAATTTTTTTCAATTTACAGGAACAGGAGCATAGTCGTAATGTTACTGGTCTAGTGATCCACAGATTCAGACTAATGCCCCACTTAGCCACTGGAGAAATTTAAATTCAATTCATGAGTAAATCTGATGTGAACTTCTAGACTCACTAATGATGATGATCATGAAACTGATGGATGGTAGAACCGAGGCACTGGAAAAGGCAACAACACAGTCAACTCTGCAAATTCCTCACTAAAACATTGGAACCTGTGCCAAACTTGGAAGAGCTATCCCACAGATTAGTCACAGCACAGCCTGACATAATCATACTCACTGAATTATAGCCAATGTTCCAGCCACAACCACTGAATTATGAACTGTCCCAGCAAAGTCAAGGAGTCATAAAGCACAGAAACAGACCCTGTGGTCCAACTTGGCCACGCTGATCAGTCATCTCAATCTGACCCAGTCCAATTTGCCAACATCTGGCCCATAGCCCCCTAAACCCTTCCTATTCATATACCCATGCAGATGCCTTTTAAATGTTGCAATTGTACCCGCCTCCACCACTTCCTCTGCCAGTTTGTTCCACACACGCACCACCCTCTGCATGAAAAAATTACCTCACTGGTCTTTTTTAAGACTGTGATCAAATGCACTGAGCCTATGCAACATATGTGAATTTTAATTTTACTCCAAGTGGTAATTTTTTTTTAAGACACTGTGTTCTTTAATGGCTCATACTAAAATCACCACTTTTAAAAATGTAAATTAGCTTCTGTGAACAATTAACAATTCACTAATTTTCATTGTTGTAAATATCAACACAGTGATGGATTTCTGAGACAAATAAACAGATAGACACATTTGCCAGAGCATGGAAAAATTAGTCCAAAGATTTCAATGCAAGTGAGAAAAAGCTACTCACATGACAGGGATTACACACATCTGTATGATGAAAGGGTAGGATAAAATAATTTCAGTATGCTGCCTACATATCTCCCACGTGCACTGTAGTCTGATTAATGGGATGAATTGAGCCCTTGCACTGTGACCTCACAATAAATAAATATTCAACGTGCAAGCAGCCAAGTGGAGATAAGAATTCAGTCACCCACGCAGTTGCTGTCGGTCAAACGCCTGCTTAATGAATTATAGTTTAGTACCAATTCAAAAAGGACAAAATATTCCTCTAGATTTCACTTTTTAGTATCACAGGTGTCCTGCTGTTTTGACGTTCAACTGAGCCAAATCATCTTCCTGCACTTTAAATTCACTATTTGTGATAACAGTTGTGAAACGATTTCCTGGAAATTCCAAAGACTCTGAACACAGCAAAACAAGGCCATTCTTGGTCAGACCCACGAAAGATGACGTTTTGTTCTTACAGTCAACTGATCTTGAAAATGCTCATATTAACTATAGACCTCATGAAGAGTTATGGAATCTGAAGAAACATGGATGAGAAAACCACTGGCTAATTACCAGTACAGCTCTCCCTCAGCTGGCAGATCTATGTTGAATATCACCATGTAAGAAGCACTGAAGGAAGAAAGGCATAGAATATTCTCTGAGTGGGGGTCTACCATGCCCATCATCAGGTGTGGATTGGTAGCACCACTATACACTCAGCTTGCTGCCTGCTGAATAATATTTCTGCCTGAAACAAAAATAGAATTTGCTGGAAAAAGTCAGCAAGTCCAGTGACCCTTCCTAGTTCTGCCTGACCTGCACAGCTTTTCCAGCAACTTCTGTTTTTATTCCTGACTTACAGCATCCGCAGTTCTTTCAGTTTTTATTTAACATTTCTACCAGGCTAAGCAAGCAGTAAGTAGTGAAATAACTAACAAGAGGGAAAATCTTTGCCACATTGACTTCACCAGTCTACTAAATCATCTGGCTATGACAGTATTGATGGGAGTTAATACTGCATAATTCTAACGGAGATCAAATTATGTCTTCGTGTAATGGGTATGTTCCATCATGTGGCACTAACATTGTGCCCAAACGTAAATGTCCATGAGGGACTCTCAGCCATTAGCAGCAACAGAATTGTATACAACCACAGTCAGGAACCTCATGTCCAGAATATCCCCACACTTGACCCTTACCATCAAGCAAAGGAACCAACTCTGTTTCAATGAAGAGTGTAGGATAGCATACCAGAACTGTACCTGGCATACCTAAAAATAAGATGCCATCTTGCAGATGCTCTAGTACAGCACACCATATTCATGCTATATAGTAGAAAAAGCATGCCTTAGATGGAATTTTGCAAACTGACAACCAACAGCTGGATTAAAGCTCTGCCATCCTCTCACTTCCAGTCACAAATACAATAATAGTAATGCGTCTATGAAATTGGAGCAGCAGTAGACCATTCGTCCCTTTCAGCGTGCTCCAGCATTCAACAAGATCATAGCTGATCTGTTTGTGTTTTGATTTCTGTATTCCCATCTTCCCCCAATAACCTTTCATTCCCTTGCCTAGTAAGAATCTATCAACCTCAGTCTTTTAAAAACTATTTCGCAACCTTGCCTCCACCATCTTCGGAGGCAGAGCATTCCAAAGTCGCACAACTCTCTCAGTGAAAAAATATTCTCCTCTTCTCTACTTTAAAAGGGTACCCCTGAATTTTAAAACAGTGCACTCTAGTTCTGGACTGACCCACCAATGGAAACATCCATCCAATTAAACAATGAACTGAAGGAGAAAGCTCTGCAAACATCTCCATTGCTGATGATAAGGGAGCTCAAGACATCTGCTAAAGAAGAATTTGAAGAGTTTTCAATCATCTTCAGCCAGAACTGCTGAGTGGGTGATTCACCTTGGCCTCCTCTTGAGCTTGCCAGCATCATTGGATGCTGCTTGTAACAATGTGAGCAAAAACACTAGCTGTTCACCCTCCCCTCCAAAATCTCCTGAAGCCACTCAGATACATCCTTGACCCTAATGCCGGGGAGGCAACATATCATCCTGGAGTTTCATTTGTAGCCATAGAAATGCTTGTTTCCTCCCCTTACAATTGAATCCCCTATAACTATTTTCACACTTTTTGCTCCTGCTGTGTGTAGCAGAGCAAAGTGTTGTGCAACAAATTTAGCTGTTGCTGCTTTCCCCCGAGAGGCCATTTCCATCAACAGTAGCCGAAACAGTGTTTTGCCGGGAATAGACACAGGAGACTCCTGCACTGTCCGCCAATTCGCTTACTTTGCCTGGTTGTCACTCATTACCTGCCTGCCTGCCTGTGGAGATTTTGCCTGCAGAGTGACCACCTCTCTAGATGTACTACCCATAACACTCTCCGCCTCATGGTTACTCCACAGCATCCCTGGCC